CGAGAGCGTGAGTGAGGGAGGGAGGGGCAGGCGGGGGCCGTGGGGAGCCGGGCGGGGCGAGGGATCCGAGAGCGGTCCGGTACCCCCCTCGCCTCGGTCTAACCGTGCCCCGCTCGGGCCTGAGGCAGCCCCGCGGAGGCCCTGCGGCCTTGCCGGCGGTCGCGGCGGCCCGTTGGGGGCGGGGGGGGTTTTCGCGGGCCGCCGGTAGGCGGGCTCGGCGGCGGAGCCTCTCCCTGCGCTGGGCCGGGGCGGGGGGCAAAGGGTAAGCCCTTCCCCATTGCAACCCATGGAGGGCTGCCGCCGCGCGGGGCGGGCTCTGCGGCTGCTGGAGGTGCTTTTAAGGCCTTGTACCCGTGAGGAGGTGCCCGGGAACCCAGCCGGGGCGTGAGTCCGAGTCGGTTGGACCGTGTTTCGGTGCCTTCGCGCCGCTCTCCAGTTTAGCGGGGTCCGTACGGGCTGAAAGAGCTGCTCCTGCCCAGGGAGGCCGCCTGCCTGGGCGGCTCTTTGTCGTCCGCAGTGTCCCCGAGTTTGGCGTAACGCTAATAGTCACTTTGCCGCTTCGTTTCATGTTGCACGCAGCCGTGGGATCCACAGGAATGTGCTCTCCTGACCCGTGGGGAAATAACGCTTGTGGGCTCAGGTATCTCTTTTATTTGTTGAACTAGTGGGCCTTGCCGGTTTGCCTGGCTTTGTGCAAGAAATAAAGTTCCTGACAAAATCGTAGGGTTTTAGTTTCGGAGAGTAATCTGAACTCACATAGCTGAAACTCGCGTGTTTTTTGGTGGCTACGTTGTGCTGCTTTTATGAAATTCTGAAGAATAAAGCTTGATTCTGGTGTTTTAAGCGTTTTTTCAGATAAAGAATAAAAACTTACACTTTGATACTTTGCTTTCTTTGTCTCTTAGGCTAAAAAAATAAAGTCCTCTTTATGAAACTGGTCCTCAGTGAAGTGTAACTTTTGATGTATGGTCTCTGAAGCCCCCCACTATGCCAGCAGCTACCGTAGACCATAGCCAGAGAATCTGTGAAGTTTGGGCTTGTAACTTGGATGAAGAGATGAAGAAAATTCGTCAAGTTATACGGAAGTATAACTATGTAGCTATGGTAAGTGGGCACTTGATATTTATCTAGCAAATTACCGCCAAAAACCACAATGACTTCATTTGATGTTAGTAAATTAAAGCTATAAACTTGTCCATCCATTTTCATTGAAAGAATAGTGGATTCTTAATAGTGGATTCTGTTGAATTAATGCTGTATGAACGTTAGGTTCCTAATCTATTACCTTTCTAAAAGATGAATTTACACACAGCACTCTTCAGCTATGAAACTGTTAGATGCTTGAAATATGTTTTATTAAAAATAAGTAATGTAAATTTTTATAGGTGTCTTTTGTTGAAGTTTTAATTGTGTTCTTACAGGATACAGAATTTCCAGGAGTAGTTGCAAGGCCTATTGGAGAATTCAGAAGCAACGCAGACTATCAGTACCAATTATTACGCTGCAATGTAGATTTGCTAAAAATAATTCAACTAGGACTGACATTTATGAATGAGCAAGGAGAATACCCTCCAGGAACTTCAACTTGGCAATTTAATTTTAAATTTAATTTAACGTAAGTGTTAAATGTCTGTGCTGTTGAATGCATGTTTCTGACTTACGGAAAATGTATTATTAGTTGTGAAAACTATAGCAACTCTTTTCATCTATATGATTGGAATATGATAGATACTTTATACGAGGAAAACTTTTGTCAGCCAAACACATGCTTTCTTCCCTCTTTTCTGTGTGGTCTGTCTTAATGTTGGTAATTTGGTCAAAAATGCTAAGCAATTTCAGCAAAAGTTTTAAGAAGAGGCATTTATACTTAGTGCAAGAGTTAGCCCTGCATTTTCTTAGTTAGCATTTCAGAGTGCTTCTAGCTTAACTTAGTTTAACTCTTACTAGTTGTTATAGAAGTTACATGTTTCTTTGCATACTTTGAAATGGAAAAAGTCAACATGTGAAGAAAAAAATGTAAAGTTACTGAAGTGACTGAAAAAGAAATATGACAAATGTTATCAGCAAGTTCTAAAGTAAGTGTGCTCTGTCCTCTTTAAAATAACGTTACTCTTGTTAAAAGGCTTACAAGTTCTAGATAATATTCTAGGTAAAATACTGTCAACTTTTTAATACTGCAGCAGCTTTTCTTGTGTTTTCAAAGCAACTTATTCTATTAAGCTACTGTATTTTAATTTTCTTCTATAATATGTTGAAAGGGATTATTGATTCTACAGCCTAGCTCCTGTGGAGATTTTTGTTCTGGATTATTTTGTGTAAAGTGTTGATTAAAAAGCAAGCTGATTTTTACTGTCTGTTGGAATAGTATTGTAAACTTTATTTCACAATGTGATTTTTATCGGTGATAAACCTTTAAGTATAAACCTAACTTCTCCAGGGGGATGAGACACTTCTGTGGAGTTCTAATTATAGCTTTAGCAGGTAGTTGACAAGGTTACTAGTATCTTGAATTTTTTCCTGAAGTAAACATAACTGGTCTGATAGGTTTTCATATGGCCTGAGTTGCGTATCAGTGCAAACACTTCTCAAACTTAAACGTGTTGAAGGCTTGGGGCTTTTTGGCAGTTGTGTTACAAGCTGATCACTGGACAGCTTGGTATACATGAGTTAAAACTGCAGCCTACAAAGGAGGTTTAGAGAACAGACCTTTTTTTTTTCTGCAGATAAAAAGACTTATTTTCAAAGTAATTGGGGTTCTTACAAAGAAAAAAGCTGCTGCTGTCTCTCTTGATCTTTCTGTTTTTCTAAACAAGCAATGCTGTGGCTTGTCGCAAATCAGTTTTGTCTGAGGAATGACATGCTCTTTTTAGTTTTGTTTGAAGCACCTCTTGAAAGAAAAGGAAGTGCAGATTTGATATTTTGGTATCTCTAAACTTACCTGGCCATATAAATGCAGCATGGAAGTTATCCATTGTCTTAATAGAAGAATATGCTAATCGTACTAAGTATAGGAGAAAGAGGAAGAATGAATGAATAAATTCCAAACTGATCTGGGAAGTAGAGTCTGTGTTATGTTTTATTTCCTTTCTGAGCTTCAAAGGTCTACTTAATGTCAAGCAACTGAAAACAAAAGTAGTTTTCTATCCATTTGTGCCAGATGCTGCGTAGATAGGCAAGATACAGGTAGTCACCTAACTAACTTGTTACTTGTTCACTGGGGGGATTTTGTACAAAAAGGTAAGCTAGGTAAGTGCTGTGTGAAACGTGATTTTTTTTTTTTTTTTTTTTTTTTTTTTTTTTTTTTACATGGGTGGAGAAATTACGTATTTTTGTCTGTTTCTAAACTTCCTTTTGGGAAGTGGCACTGTGCCAAGTGTTCTGTTCCTAAAGCAAAACAGCTGTTGGCTGTTCCTAGGAGGTAATTTTTTGTGTGTGGTTCCAGCCAGGTGGTGTTATAGTGTGCTTTTAAAGAGCATACATATTTCTCTAACTATCCACCTGATTAGTGCAGAGCAACAAACTAGAATTAAAACTTCTTTTTGTAAAATAGTCATGTTTGTTTTGGATAGGTTCTTTAATGTGTTGTGGAGATGGACAGGTGTTGGGAAGCTGATGCCTTAAAGCTGGAGAACTAATGAGCAGCTGTGTGGGAGGGAGGAAAAAAGATACAACACATCTTGAGAATGTATCTCTATGTTCTGATGAATGATGACTTGCTATTAGGAATAAGGAATATAAGTCTATGACTGAATCTAATAGTCAAATTTGATATATTGGTTGTCGTGTCTGTTTTGGGTTTTTTGTGTTTTGGTTTTTTTTTTTTATTAAAATTGAAAACCATACACTGAAGAGACTTTGTAGAATACTCTGTTGTGGACAGTAATATGAATATCATCTTCTAAGTAGAGCCATGTTTGCATTTTTTTTCTTTTTTAGTTAAACATTCTATGTCTTTGTTAACATGATATAGATTAAACTTTAGCAAAAAAACCTCCTATCTATTTTATCACAAATTCCTTAAGACTTTACAAAAATGTTAGTGGTAAAGGGAATAAATACAAGAATAAGAGGGGATCAAACAAGGCATAGAGGAATTTTTTTCCATCTTGTTAAATTTTAGACCCAAAATATGGCTATTGAAGTTGGTTGTTTAGAAAGAAAACATTAGGCTACCTGAATTTTAAGGATTGACTGGATGGAGCAAGTACTCAATTTCCAGTTGTAGTGAGAAGGAAGTTTTGATGAGCGTGTGTCTAAACATTTATGTAAGCTTAAATTACAAGAAATGTGTGGGAAAATACTATCCACAGAACTAACGCAGCACTGGGGTCTGGAGTGTACTGTTCCTAGTTCTATAATGTAACATGTTAGTGCTCCAACTGTTATAATTAAGTCGTCACAGTTCAAGTAATGGATCTTATTCAGTAAAATACCTGTATTCGTACCTTCGCTATCCTCTGTAGATTTGCAAAAGGGGAGTTCTAGGTAACTGGGAGAGGAGCAGGAACTAGTTTTTTTTATGAAGGAGGCAAGAATGGAGGTGCCAGGAATGGCAAAATGCTAGTGAAAGTTAACAAAAGCTATGAAAAATGGGGGGTTTTTTGTAATTAACATGGAAGAAAGTGAAGTTGCTCCTGCTCTGTGCTAGTAAAGTCTGTGGAATGAGTAGCAAAAAAGAAATGCTACCAGGTGTGTAATCACTGAGGTCTGTAGATTTTGAAAATTTACTTTTCCTCTCTGTTTTTAGAGAAGATATGTATGCCCAGGACTCTATTGAACTGTTGACAACATCTGGTATCCAGTTTAAAAAGCATGAAGAAGAAGGAATTGAGACACAGTACTTTGCAGAACTGCTTATGACATCAGGAGTTGTACTGTGCGAAGGAGTGAAGTGGCTTTCCTTTCATAGGTAAATTCTGCATGTTAAGTATTTGAGTTTTCAGTATTGATTATTGAGTTCTAGAGCTTGGATTTCACTTCTCATGTGTTAAGTGGTGTACATCTGATAGTGCATATAGCATGTATCTTGGTTGGTAAGACTCAGAAAATATTTCTGCTGTAATACCTATAGCACCATTCTGTTTCAGAAGAATAGAGTGAACATGGTGGTACTTGTGTTTTATTATTGGTGTTTACGCTGTAATAGAAAACTGTAAACCAGAAAAACATGAAACTCCTAAGCCAGCAGGTGGCATTGTATCTTTTAATATCACACATGCAAGTAATAATAGTAATAATGATAAAAGCAAACTATTCCTAAGCAATCTTGAGCAAATATTGTTTGTCTCATGGGAGAAGCCACAGAATTATCAGTGAAGAGTTTTATAAAGCACTTTTAAATTCCTTTTAAATCTGGTAATCTGGGCAGATGAAAATTACTCAGCTTAGGAGGAGAGCCCTGATAAGCCTTAATTCTAGCTGCAGTAATGAATATATTTTACTATTTATTCCATCACAGGAACTCATCTTCCAAGTAGAAATAGAAATGTGAATGCTAAATCTCTATGAATCTGTCAAGATACAAAAGATCTTTAGGTATTAATAAGACTGAACACTTTAAAACTTATGCAGTAGTCGTTGTATAGCCAACTACATGCCAGAGATAATTTGCACTTTTTGCAAGCAGCAGTGGGTTTAAAGGCTTATTGCTAGCTATGTAATGCCCTCAAGTTACCATCTTAAATGTTGGCTGCTAAGCAAGTCAACAAAGGTGGAGCAAATGTTTTAGCTGAGACTAGTGGTTTCCTTACAGCCTTATTCTTGTTTATCATGCATGGTACCTTGGTGGGTGGCAATATGTAGATGACAAAATTAGAAAAAAACCCCAATTTTTCATCCTTAAGTATTAAATCTTGGGGGGGAAGTTGGAGGAGAGAAAGTCACATGGAATTAGAGAAGTATTTATGTTATTAACCAACTGAAAAAATAAGGGCTGCTTCAGCAAGGAATGTAAAACAGTAGTAGAAAGGTGCATATAACAGCCTGTTGCAAATTCATCATTTTGACTTGCTTTGTGGAAAGCAAGTGTTAGCCTGAACTTCCAAAAGGCAGGGAGGGATGGGGAGATAAGACAGGTAACAAAAAAACAAACAAACAAAAAAAAATCCTCTTTGAGAACGTTTGTCACCTAATCTGCCTACATCTTCCACATGCAGCTGTCTTGACTCACAATATGACTCTAAAATAATCTTACTCTTGCTATCTTGCTACTAGGTTGGCACCTTGGGGAAAAATACTGGAACAAGAATGCCGTGTCAAAATAACTACAAAGGCTGAATTAGTGAATTAAGTTCCTTTCAGCTTCTTAAACCCATTATTTTGGGCTCTTATATGCGTATTTGTGATTTACGCTTGACTACAGTAAAATAACTTAGATGGTTCGAGAGAAGTGGGGGGAGGCATGTTATGTGTGTAACTAGTACATCAACAGCTTCTGCCATGTAGAAGCAGCTGCAGCTACAAAACAGTGTTTTTTCAATATTGCCTAATAACTTTAAGGGCCAAGTGTAAGCTGTCCTAGCAAAAGGAATACCTGAGCCATTTCTACACTAGGGATTCTTTTTCAAGCATATTTATACTGATTGTGTGTGATTCCTGACTAATATGCTGGTCAAAGTGTAGTGCAAACTAAGTGTAATAATGTCACTTTTACTAGCGCGGCTTATGAAGGGGTTTTGGAATGGCTTTATTGAAGTCCAGTTTCATCTGTGCTAAAGTGGGTTTCTGTTGTGGGCTTCACTGAAAATGCTATTCCAGCAAATGTTTGTCAAAAACTGATTATCCACAACTCTGCTTGAAGTCAGAGAGTGTTTAAAGGCTTTTGTGCTTGACAGAGCATGTTGATACTATCTTGAGCACAAAACCCTGGAGTAGTGGGTTAAGTTCTGAGAAAGCTAAGATTGCACAAAGCTATAAATAAGCATGGGTCACATAAAGTGTGCCACAAAGAATAGTAAACGGCTGTTTCTAAACAAATATTAGGTTGATTGTGATTATATTCTATTAGTGGAAACTTAAAACAGCGGGACAGCTCAGTTGAAAATGTTTCATGTAGGGTCTCCATGCAGTAGTTCTTTGACTGCTGAAAAAGCTGTGCTTGATAGTTACTGACTGTACTATTGCTTCTGCTTCCATAAAATGCTTGAATTACTACTAACCCTCAAAATTTCAGTCTCTTAGGAAGTGGGCAGAGAAGAATTACTCCTGTCTTAGAGTGTGAGGTTATGTTTTGGTTTTGTTTCATTTCTCAGTCTTTGATTTCCTTGAACTCTTAAGTAGTTTATTTCTAAGCTCTTAGCTTCTCAAATAGTTTTCTTTGTGTGCTTTTTATCTCTGCATTTGATGTAGCTGCCTTGGCATCCTGATGTATTGGCAAATCTGTGTGGACCTGCAGTTCTGCCAGGCATGAACAAAGAAACATTTGCACTGTCAGTGACTCTTTTTACTGCAACTTCATAAGTGACTCCATCAAATCTTTTGCGTGTGTTAAAATGTATTTGAGTGGATGAGAGAGGAGAGGGAAGCCCCAAATTTCTAATTCTTGTTGCAGTCAAGAGAGCTCTGAGTGCTTGGCAGTCTAGCAAGTTATAAAATGGAACAGCTCAAACACTGTTTTTGTGGATGTTGAACTAACTGATCTGGTGAAGCTTTGAGTGTCCACCTGTGTGCAACCTCTTCGGTCTACCTTTGGAGGCTCTGCGCAAACGTGCCTCTTAACCCAGATGTTTTGGGGAAGCTGGAAAGTTCCAAGCTATTGTATTTCAATAATCATTTGTGTCTAACTGATTTCAGTAAAATTTAATCTGTTGGCTCATTTCTATTAGCCGGTTATAAAATGAAGTAAAGCTTTCTCAGCTCTGTCAGGTTTTGATTTGTTTCAGAGACTTGGTGCTTGTAGAATTCATTGTTAATTGGCTATCTGAATTCTTTCTGGATAGTAAGGGAAAGAAATAGAGGCACATTTGATCTTTTCCATGGTCTTGTTGCCTACAGCTGTCCATGTTCAGTGGAAAAAGAAAAAAAATAAAGGTTGTAAGAGTGCTTATGTTGCTGTATAGCTCCAGGGATTGTGGCTAGCTGCACTAAGTAACTTTAGGTGATTATATTGGAAATGGTGAAAGCTTTTTAAGGAAAGGAAGCCTATGTGCTTCAGGGTATAAACCAACCACTAATTGCCTCTTAGAGGATTAGAAAAAAACTTCTTTAATGAGCAGGTAATTACATAATTGCTCACTGTGGACTTTCTTACCCTTCTGTTAGTATTCAGCAGTGACCACTCAATTTTTGAACTAGATACGTTATAGTCTTGAATTGGAGTGACAGTTCCTATGTCTGTGTAAGCTTGGATGGCTGGAGCATATTACCCCTGAAAAGTATACTAAAAAGATTATGTAAATACCTTGAATACTGTATTGTGATTAGTAAAGTGGGTTTCTGATGGTTGTTAGGAGCACAATGGGACTAAGTGTAAGCAGCTGGAACTTAAGGAATGTGAGATATCATTTGGTTGAGCTGACTAAAACTAACCCGTGCTTAGGATCCAAGAATAGATACCTGACTGAATGCTGTCATGCAATGGAAGGGTAATCATGCCTGTTAAATCCACTGTTCAGATATCCTGTTCTCTTCTTCTGCATGAGGATCCCAGAGTGAAAGAATCTGCTTCAATCTCCAAGGGAAAAATATATATACATATATATATAATTCTTCATCGAAATGGCAGGTTTATGATGGCCTGCTCCCTCTCAGTGCAAACAGTAAATGAATCTTGACTTTTCTTACAGTACTTCTTTCTTAACAGAAATTGGAATTGTTTGAGAGCATGTGTTTTCTAGTAATTCAGTCATGTATGTAACTTTTTTTGGAAGAGGAGGGGAATCAAACTTTTTATTTTTTAAGAGGAGCAAAATACTGTTTTCTTCACTTTAAAAGTTTTAATATGGCTGTTACATTTGAGCTACAAGGATGACTGATATCAGATATTCAGTGAGTTAATAAGCTTTCTAATCTCTAGAGGAGTAAGTCCGCTTAATCCTGAACAGTCTTTTTTGCATCTTTCTGAACAGTCTTTTTTACTAATGCGGCTTTTTTCTTTTCCTTTTCTATAGAGGGCTTTATGCCAAAACAGGCTCCCCCCCCCGTTTCCCCCCCCCCCCCCCCAAAATAGGTGATCTAATAAAATTAAGCTTCCAAGCTACTGTTTTTGCCAAGTATACTACAGGTTTTTACTTTGTAAGACTTGGCTGAAATCCTTTATCTTTGGCTCCTTTGCTCTGTGGCCAGTGGCTGCTGCTGTGGAGATTGGAGTGCTGCCAGCACAGCTTCAAAGCACCAGATGCAGTGTGGGATTCATTCAACATGAAATTCCTGTTTAGAGCACTGGAAACCCCCATGGGAGAGCTGCAATAGTCCATTCCTTTTGTGTATCTTGTATTAATGGACTTTCAGCAAACAATCCATTTATTCCCAGTATGTTCAAGATTTTCTACCCTCTGTCTAGAAATTCATAAGGTAAAGATGGTGTAGAGAACCCCATTGTATACAAAAGGTACAAAAAGCAATCCTCTTTACACTGGGTATGCAAGCTAAAGCCTTGAGCCTATGTCAGAAATCACCAGTCTTTGTGGGTACTAAATATCTGCAGGATCAGTAGTACAGTGCTCTTAACTGATTTGTCTTCTGTATTACTCATCTCACAGTTAAAGATCTCAGTCAATATTTACCAAGTTGAAAAATTCTCAGTTTTGAGTATGATCCTCACGTAACCAAGAAGTATTAAATGGGGAATTCAAGAGTCTGTGGTGGCCACCCATTTACTTGAATTATCTGTCAGCTATACGCTAAGGTTCCTTAAGCAGCAAAACTGATGCAGCCTTCAGTAGAGGCAGCTCTGCTGTGTGTTTTCATCATCTTTGTTAGTACAGGCATGTTTAAAATTGCATGTCAATAAAACCTAGCAACTAATTTGGTTCAATGCAAACGTAGTAATAAAGAAGAGAACGTATCATTCCTCTATCTAGTTCAGTGCATATGTGCATGAGCAATACTGCAAGTACAAGGGATCAGAATGGATCAGATTCATGATAAAATCATGAATAATTTGGCTTGTAATCTCTGCCTTCCCAGGGAAAAGCATAACTAGTCATCATTGCTTTTTGTTGTGGTGTTCAGTCCTACTTAATACCTGACATCTGTCTTTCCTATGCTTTAAACCCTCTGTTTCCTCTCATAACCCTTTGTAAAAGTACATGGTTTCCCCTTTTACTGCCACACCTCGTTCCTATGTCCTCTTTCTGCAGTCAAACTATTGAGAAGGAAGTCTTCCCAAACTCTTCATCACTCACACAATGTAATACCTCAGTTTCTTCCATCACACCTGTACTGCTTGTTTATCTTGCTGCCTCCTGCTGACTTACATGTACACACAAAAATTTTTCCAACTTACTCTTTTCGGAGGCAAATACAGAGTAATAGTCTACAAGCTATTAAATTTTTCAGTTGTCTGTGTGCTGATTTAATTGGGAAAGTTGAAAGACAATCTGCTCTTCTTCATTGCTGAGGGTGATACTTGCCTCCAGGCATAAACATGTGTTGGCTCTGGAAACTCATGAATCTTCTGGATTTTGAGAACTGTAGAAGTCTTTCTGTCTCAGTTTGTAGTGAAAAACTCCCATCTGTGTGAAAGGATCCAGCTAGGTGTCTTTCTGGTGCAAGTTCTTGTTATCAGATGAAGCCCCAGCAGCACTACCTTGTTTCAGGATTTAGAGAAACTCCTGTATGCAGATCTTTTTGCTTCACTCAGCCTCATTCAGACTAAATTAAAATGTTTTCTCTGGAATCTGCAATGGGGCCATTTACACTGAGGCTTAGTCTTTTGTAAGAGTCAGTCTTAATTGCATTGAAATTAGGCCAAGTGTACTGTTAATGTATAATGAAGTCTTGATGTTGGAAGCGAGAAGGATGCTTCTAAGTTATTTGCTTATATTGTTTTTGTTATTTATTTGCAGTGGATATGACTTTGGCTATCTAATCAAAATCTTGACAAACTCTAATTTACCTGAAGAAGAGCTGGACTTCTTTGAGATACTGCGATTGTTTTTCCCTGTCATCTATGATGTAAAATATCTCATGAAGAGTTGCAAAAATCTGAAGGTAAGTAATCTGTTAATGGCTCAGCACAAATTCTGGGTTTGGAGACAGAGTACTTTCTGCTTAAAAATACTTACTTTCTATATTTTTATCTTTTGGTTTTGCTTTGATAATACCTACTAAGTATTGTTGTCTCAAGCTTTATATTTTTAATATTAAAGGCTATTGATAGAAGCAGGCAGGAGCACACATCAATTATTATAACTGCTTACCAGTTAAAAATAGCATGTTGATACTGTATTTACAGTGGCCAGTCTTTGTTGACAGATGATAAACCCATGTTTGGAATGAATCCTTCACTTCTTGAACCATAAGAATTGATGGGTTTCATATACTCTTATTTCCTCATTGTGCAGTCCACTAAAGGACTGCAGTCATCTTGGCAAAGGTAATGGCAACGATGATGCTGTGGAAGTGTCTTGGGAAGAGGAATGGAGCGAAGAATGTTTCAGATGGCCCCATAAGGAAAGATAAACAACAGCGTATGTTCAGGGACAACATGTGACTTCTAGGAAAAAATGCAGTACTAGAAACTAATCTCTCATGTCAGGCCAGCTGGGATACTAATTGGCTTACTCTATCAGGCATAAAATTTGGATACTTTATTGCACTGGAGAATGAATGGAAACTGGAACTAAGTATGTGAAGGGGAAGACAGCAAGTGAAAGAAAGATGCTACAGGGATTGCTAACAGCTTTACTTGCCAAAGAACTGTAAGAGTCCGGACTGCTGCTGGAATGAGGTGCATCGCTCATCTGAGGCAATTAATGACTTGCTGCTTTTATGGAAAGTAATTCGATTCTCTAGGCTTTCTTAATGAGAACCTGCATGAAAAAGAGAACACTGACTGTAGTACAACCAAAGCCTAACTAAGGGATGGCTTGCCACTTCGTCGTGCTGAACTAGTGATCTGTGTGGGGTTTATAGTCATCTGTTTCTTTCTGAGATAAACTAATAGAGTATGTCACTTCTAAGTAGTAGCCTACTTGTGTGGGAAGTAAATTTTGTGAATCCTTTTGTTAATCAAATTAATGTTGAAAATGGAGACCTCCCAGTTAGTAAGAAAAGTATAATTACCTGTGTTCATCTAGAGTTGTTATTGGTATAATCAGCAGCGCAAATAGCTGAGTATTAAAAAATCTTAGAAACAGTTTTTCTCCACAGAGACCAGAAGAAAAAAGGAAATGTTAATAAGCTTCAGGAGTCTTAAAGGAGGGGGAGGGACCCCAAAAAAACCACACTTACTTTCTCACTCCTTGTGAAGCAAAGTAAAGCATCTGGTGTCTTAGTGGTGGCGACACACTTAACCAAGAACAGAGTGTATAATCCAACTTCAGTGATGTAGGAAAGGTGACAGAATGATGTTCTCTGTCACTGTTCCAGAGGTGACATTCCCATTGGGTTTGGGGAGGAGGGGATTGTATTTCCTGTCACTTTATTAAGACATAGTTGTGTGTAACCTGTATTGTTTAGAGACACTGATGTTTTTTGGAAGACAAGAAAAACCTTCTTCACAGGTCTTATTTCAGCAAACTTTAAGAACAAGGGTGATTATTTTTTTTATCCCCTCCCCCCCCCAGCTGAATATGTAGGTCAGCTTTCCTGCAGTAAATCGTGATCCTGTCGCCTAACCCGCAGACTTGCAATGACAGCAGGGGAAGGGATGTGGACTACCCTACCCATCCAAATTTACCAGTGATGAAATGATGGTGAACTTGTACTGTACTGAGAGCAGCTGTCTAAAACAAATTGCTAAATGCTCAGTGTTGTGACTAAAAATGCATGCACTGTCTCCTAATGTGTGTCACTTTCAATCTTTATTAAATTGCAGTGAATTGAACTGCTGTGCAGTTGTCCTTTATTGACTTGTCTAAGTTATTTTTCATATGAAAGTCACTGACTTGCTGTAGGTCTCCCACTTCCTGCTCCCACACACCCAAAAAAGAATTTGTGGCATTGAGAAGAGAAATATGCTTCAGGATTAGGAAGCTGTTTGGTGCTATTTTTGTGGAATTTAGTCTGTGAATTTACAGTATGTTAACTTAAATGGACATGAATCTACTTTACTGGCACGCAGATTGGGAGTTAACTTGAGATATTAATGTAGCATAGGTTAAATTCTTGCATGTTCTCTAAAAATCTTTCTATGTAGACTATTCCAAACCTTTTGATAGTAATGGCAACTCTAAGTAATTCTGTAGATTTATAGACCTTGTTGGAAACTTGCTTTTATATGGGGGTTTGTACAGAACAGTGAACTCTGGTACCAGTGGCATGAAATGAGAATTTGAAGTGAATTTGCTGTTTGACTATGGTCATGTAAATCATTCTGTGGCCTTTTTCTTGAAAGACCAGTACTCTGAAAATTTGGAAAGAGTTTGTCCTTCTCCTGTAAGAGTAAAAATGTTCTTACTTGGAGTGCAAAAGTCTTGCCTGAAAGAGAATCTCAGTAGCTTATTAATTTTCAGAGACAGACAAATTTTATTCTGTAATTATTGCAGTTATAGACCAAGAAGTTCCACACAAAAGTGGTGTGTGATATATTTATAAATGGATATATACCATTAAAAGCACTATTTTCAAAGCATTCTTCTGTAGGCTGCTGTTAACTGTAAATTTTGAACTACATTCCAGAGCTTGCAGCTGCTGTGTAAATATTACTGATTTTTATTCTTGATTCTTCAAAGTTATTTGAAGCTAGAGTAGGTTCTGCTAGCTGTAAGACTATCTGATGATGAGGCACCGCTAGTTTGCAACTTGAGGAAGAAGAGGGTTTAGGAGCAGAAAATGGTGCCTTGAAAGGGTGTGGGCCTAACTGCTGTTGCTAACTCTAACAGCTCATTATTGGAGTTAGAAAGTGGAGAACATGCCTGTATTGGATATGTGCTTTTTTTTCCCCTGCCCACCAGCCCTCCACATGTTTTTGACAGTGTAAATTAAATAATTGAGCATGTTTAGGTACAACATCTGAACACTGCAAGCACATAAATAAAGCAAGCTAGCTTCTGTGCTTAACTGTATAGACTTACTTTTATCTTAAACTTCTGTAAACTATATTCCTGCTGCTCAAGCTAGAATAAAACTAGCCATACCAATACTAGGTTTTCATGTTGGTTTGTAGGTGTTACTTGGGAATGTCACTACTGAAGCTTCCATCTTTTTAAACAAAACTAAAACCTGGGCCCAAACCTGTTGCCATAAGATTCACAGGAATTTTCATAATGTTTGATCTGATTTTCAGGTCAGACTTTATTTTTGTTGCTCTGAGTTTTAACTTTGACTGTTATGCTTTTGCTTCTTATTGCTTACCTTCCTGTACTTGACACGGGTTAAGAATGTGAGGAAAGGTGAACTGGGATACTGGGCAGTCCTTCTTTAAAAGTATTGCCTCTGTGCAACATTTTTGCCCTGCAAAGCTTGTGGCAGCACTAAGGATTTTGCTGTTTGGTTGGTTGGTTTTTTAAATCTTTCTAGACCTTAAAGAGTGTGCATGTGCTTTAGTCTATTTCCAGTAGCTTCATGGCTTAATGATTAAAAAAAAAAAGTACAAAATTATGTGCTCACAGTGTAGCTTACAGCATTAAGAGATTGCAGTTACAATGTAACCTGTCTATCCTTCAAGTGATCTGTGTTACCTGTGTGAAACCAAACCAGCCTCTGATGGGTTTGCTTCTACATAGAGTGGTTATTACCATTGGGGGTGGGGGGCGGCGCTAAAAAGAGGTTTATTTAGTCATTCTACAGTTAAGGCATTAGTTTTTCACATAAGCTTATTGGGAAGAAAATTAGTTTCAAAACTGGAGAAGTTTTACCTTTAAAGCAGATAGATTTGCAGCTTTTAGTTATGTCTACAGCTTCACAGTCTGTCCTTTTAAACCATGGATCAACATTCAAAGCAGACAATTACAGTTTTAAATTGTTCCCTTTTTGTATGCGAGATGTTTATATACTTTTTTAAGTAGGCTTCGTTACACATGTGACTGTTAAATATACATCTCTAACTGAAAAGCTGGCTATACCATTGGATTTTAGTATCTTAGAAAACTAGTTGCAAGACACTGAATTTTTTTGCATGGTTTTTTTCCTAGCCTTTTATGTCAGCTAATGAAACAAACTTTAAAGAGGGGTAGAATGTCTTGTAGAGATGGAGTGGGCACTTTCTTCCTTTTTTACTCTACCACCTGGTTTCTAAAATGCCTGCTGTGTAATATTTTCCTGGACTCCCTGTAGTGTTCTAGATACTTAAGGATACTCTCAGTTTTTGTGAAGTGGAAAAACCCTCAACTTAATTGTTGAAAGGTAAGTGGAAAGAAAAAGGTCTGTTTCAAAGGAAGCATAGATACTTTAACACATGGAGGCATATGGGCACCTCATTTGTAAACACTTGAATTCTTATGTTTGTAGAACAACACTTTTACCTTTTAAACTTTCATTCAAATAGAAGGAGTACAGGAACACCTGGTTTTGTTCTTCAGCATTGCCAATCCTTTCAGCATCTTGAAGGAATTGTTTTGTTAAGTAATGACATCTGGTTACTGGAAAAGCTGGAACATGAGGGAGTAGTAGTTTTGTTGGTCACAGATACTGCTTTATTTAATAAATACTGACACAGAATTCTAATGCTGCTATTGATACTGAAAGTTTCATTGTCCAGGTGTGCATTTATCTAGTATAATAACTGTTACAGCTACTGTGCAAATGTTAAAATATACCTGAGTTTGTATGACCTGTGTAACAGATTTTCCCAAATATAGCTACTCAGTTTTCTGATTCAATTTTTTTCAGCAGTTAACAAAAATGTTTTCTTTTTCAGGGTGGATTACAAGAAGTGGCTGAGCAGTTAGAGCTGGAAAGGATAGGACCACAGCATCAGGCAGGATCTGATTCTTTACTCACAGGAATGGCCTTTTTCAAAATGAGAGAAGTAGGTGGATGTGTTGGTTTTATCTCCATGATAGTAATGTGCTGTGATAGTCAGATGGAATTGCTGATTCTGATAAGTCTGCTGTATTTTAAGGAGGTCTCTGAAGGGCTTCAGGGGTCACTCCTTTCTTGACAAAAATAAGACCACCTGCATTTTCCACAGAATAAGCGTGAACCAGCCCCACTGGTTTACTGCTTAGCTGCTGTGAGTGAGTATTGCTTCCTGTTTCCAGCCTATGCCTGGCTTTTGGATTTTTTGTGGGGTTTTGCTTTTGGGTTTTTTTCCTTCCCTGTTTTGCAGGGTACCTCTTTTTAGGTGGCTGCTGCAGTGTTATGAGCTGCTGGAGCGAGACTCCTTTCTGGGTGACCATACTCAAGCCAGGTTTTGGGGGTTTTTTTTGGAGCTTCTGCTCAGTGTAATACCTAGCTGGTATGCACTGCTGCTTGTGACAGGCCTAGAGGCGGGGAAAGAGTGTTGACTGGCCGCTTCTAGCTAAACTTGCAGGCTATAGGTATATTAAATAATGACTTTCAGGCTGCTGTGGAGAATGTCCATGCATTTGTTCCTTACCATTGAGTAAAGCACAGATTAACTCGGTTCTAAAAGATTATACATTGATCAATTAATTCAAGGTTTGCAGCAAGGGAAACCACGTCTTACAAGCTGCACTGTTCCTTGATACTTGTCTCTGTACAACAGGAAGATATTAGGATATTTTGCATTAGCAGAACAAACAAATGTTGAACGGACCTCTTCTGGAAAGCAGTTGCACTGGACAAATGCCAGTGCATCTGAACATGGCATTCTGCCAGCAATTCAGTGTCATTTACCATGTCAAAACAGATGGCAATAGGAAACCTCATTTTTAATAAGGTTCAGGATTGTACGCTGAGGTGTCTATTTCTTGTAATCCAGCTTTTTTGTATAAAGGAGAAAATGAGCACGAGTTCCTGACAAATACTAGTGAGACAGCAGGTGAAAAATAAATGCTGTGATTTAAGCTGGTTTGCTCATCATAACACTCTGTTCTGCCTCTGCTGGAACTGTTGTAGTTGTCAAGCAGGTCATGGGCTACAGATGCAATAGAAAGGATTGTGTTTCTGGTACGATCCAAGCCCAGTGTGGCTAATGGCCATCTGCCTGGTATTGTTAATCTTTCACTTTTGAATTTGAAACAAAATCCAAAACAAATAAAGGGGAAGGGAAAGTAGATGAGAATGATGCCTAAGAGACTGCCTTTCAAATTAGTTTTCTAGAGGAAAAGGTTCAAACCCATGATTGTTTCTCTAATGAGATGCAGTTTGTGTTACATGGCAAATTATCTTCTCGAATTTGTTTACCAAAAGCTCTTACTGGGAGAAGTAGAAATCGTTGAGATTTTTTAGTGCAAAACACTTGCTTAATTAAGCCAACAAAGATGTATTGATTATGATGAGTTTTTTCAGTACTTTCAGGTTCTTTGCAAATACAGCATTTCTAGATAAGGACACAGTAGTCAGCAGAGAGAATTAAATTTAATGTGTATTTTTAAAGCCTTTTCAGTAGACTTCATTGTTTAACAATGTATTTCTGCGTGACAAAAACTTCATTTTACAATGCTTTTAGAGGTACAAAATTTTGTTCATAATTGCGGTGAAGGAGTTTCAACTTGCTTGCTGAGTTTGGGAATGCCAGCCAAAAAAGTTAGTGATCTTTTTCGTCCCATCAGAAATACTTAAATATTGATACTACAACAGTAGAGTTGTTTTGGGATTTTCCTACCTGTTTATTTTTGCAAGAACTGCTGGGGGCTTTAAAACTTTTAACTGAGGTCTCCAATTCCTGCAGTACAGAACTTGTCATCCAGACTCTGCTGCTAAGAGCAAAGCTTGAAGGGAGAAGTTTTACAGCCTGTGTGGTATATGCAGTCCTCTACATTTAGATTGTGTATTGCGTCCACACTGCTCCTGCGTGATTGTGGCTGTCTTAGATTTCTGATTTTGATGATGACTCAGAATGTCAGCCACTGGGATGTCCAGGGTTGCTGTGAAGTTTTTAGGGTGAAAAATTTTTGTGTACGTGTGTGTCTTTTTTATTTTTGTGGGGTAATTTGTGGTTTTGCTTGAAAACCTGAGGCTGAAAGGTGGAAGGGATTTCGTATGTCTTCCACTGAAAGGTTCTGTTTGCAATTCAGACTTGTAAGGTGTAAATGCAGTCTTAGTATAAAATTTACTTTAATTTTGTTGTTCCTTATTAAATGAAGTCCCCCTCTGTGAGGAGCTAGCTGGAAATGCATCTTTCTGCATTTCTCTAAACTCCATAATGCATTTTGTGCTCAAACATTCTCCCCACCCCAAACCTTTATAATATAAATCGATACATACTGCCATTTCAGGACAGAGTATGATGAAAACTCCCACACTGAGGAGTAGGTAGAGTACAGGCACTGATGATGGATGCTAAGTATATGCCTGTTCTGAGAAACTCCACAGAAATCAGTTGGAGAAATATCTTTGTTACACTTGCAGAAAAGTGAGTGATAGCTGATAATACAAAACTATCAAAACATTGCATTTGGCCATTTTATCAGGAAGGGTGCACAGGAAGACTGATTGTGTGCCTTCACAGATTTACTTTAAAGAATCGTGTCATATAGTGCATCTTGATAACGTGTTAAGTGTGTTACATTAATTATATCATCTTTTGCACCTTGGGATTTGGTATCTTAGGCTAAAAAGAAAGTAACATTTTAAAGCCTTTCTGTAGTTCTATTTAAACTGAGCCTTTTCTTTGGCAATAATTTGTGTCTTTCTTTTAACTCTTTAGATGTTCTTTGAAGATCACATTGACGATGCCAAATATTGTGGCCACTTATACGGCCTTGGTTCGGGGTCATCTTATGTACAAAATGGCACAGGAAATGCATATGAAGAAGAAGCCAACAAACAGTCATGACATGAAATGAAAGGCCATCTTTTTGACCTCCATGTGCTTGTATATAGGTTTTATCTCTGGTTGAACCCCTTGGACAATAAGGCTATTTTTCCCCCTTTCTCAGCACACTTTCTTTTCTGCCTTTCTATGTACTAAACTTGACTGTTCCTATCACAGATTTTGATCCTACTATTGATATGTAAAATTTTCTGGGTTACATTTTGGCCTCATAACTAGCCCATTTGTAAACAAGCATGTATAGGATCAGTGTGGCAGAGAGAAGGGGAAAGTTATATCATAATGAACAGTCTGGTAAACTTACCTATATTGATCTCCTGGTTTTTTGTCTCTTTCCCCTCCCTTCTACAAATTAACTGGCACTGATTGTAACTAACTTCCCCATTCATGTCTGTTCCTTCCAGTATGCAGGCGTTTTAGCTATTCAAGATTGTGGACCATCAAATTTGCACTTTAGAGAACGACTCTTGACCCAGATCCTGTGTTTTATTTGAAGTTTTGTTTTCTTTTTTCTTTTGCCCTCAGCTAGAAAACAATCATCTGCCAAGTTCAGCAGCTTCGTGCTGTATTTCCTTGGTATCTCAACCCACAGAACGTGACTTGCTGCATAACCTCTGTTTGTTCGAGCAAAACAAACTACTGAAATCATAGTAACTGCTGTTATTTTACTAGTGTTCAGTCGTCTTCAAAGACATCCTGCACATGTCAACTGCTGGTTGGCCTGCTGCTTTAAAACTGCTCTGTGGTGGGGGAAAGAAGCTTATAAAAACAGCTTTACACCCTTCAGGAAAAGAACAGCTATTACTTTAGCATTTTTGCCATTAAGCTGAGAGTTGAAGGATATTGGAATAGTAGGAGTTTTGTAATGGCACACTTCCCTTGATTAACTTCCTAGCTTTTATTCTAGTAATGTACACCTCAAATTTTTTATGAAGTCATATTTATTATGTACTTGATGATTTTTGAAAGTCAGTTTAGTTCAAGATAAAACCCAAAGATCTGAAAAAATACTATTTAATTGAATTAGAAGGACAATTAAATCATGCTTTTTTGTAGTTGCTACAAAGACAGATGTTACAGATATTTGTTGTAAAACAACAAAATATAAATAACTTATAGCTAATAAAGTTACCTGAGGAGTGTAATGCTAGTTTATTTTTGAGTATATCTTAGCAATATATTTTAGATACATTGTTTTAAAGGACCCTAAAGTACGTTCTTAACTCTGCATAGCATGTGTACTGAGCAGTTGTGCAGGAAGGATTTTTGGTATTGAATAGCTAAATACTAGCCTGAAATGATGGAATGTGCAACATTGTGTGCCTGTGTGTGCGTGCGCGCGTATGTGTGCGTGTTCGACACGGAAATCAATAGTAGAAAAATCTCAATGTTCGCCAAATTATTCCGTTTTACCTTGTACTTAAAAACAAAAAATCGAACACCTTTTTTCATTGAGTTACAATGATGTAACTGGGTGGTCCTTTTTAAACAACAAATAATTTGCATAAGAGGGTATTTGTTTTTAAAGCTTTTGTAAATAAAGGCCTAAGAAATGTTTTCTTACATAACAGACTGGTGGTTTTGTTACAAAATTTTTTCTGGAATGTCTGTGTAGTTAGTTCAGTTCTGTATTCTGTTTTGTTTAGGCATGATAGTTCTCTTCCATGTGCTTATAAAATGATCTTACTGCTCCCTGACTTATTCCACTTTCAGAGCAGAATTCTGTTCATGTGTTTCCAATCACTTCGTTCCTACTGACCTGAGCTGCAAAAGTGGTGATTACAATTTACTACTGAGGCATCCAAATTCCGTTAGTAATTTATTTTAATACCATTATGCATTAGATGATGGTGACTTGTTTTAACTTTATTTGTCTTTGGCTTTAATAAGATAGGGACTATCTAACAGGAAAACAGGATGGATTCTTACTGTGGCTTATGTGGAAAATTTGCATACACGTGGAATGAAGAACACCTGAAGTTTGATGCATTTGCTTTAAAGTTCAGTAGCTTTGCCTAAAGCCTACTGATACACCTATCTGTGGTTAACTTTTGAAGGGAATGACTTTGAAGAACTTTGATGGGTTTTTGTTTTGAAGTAACTCTTTAGTTGTTGATCAAAGGAAGTTTTTAGAGGCTCCTAAATGTGTGTCTACACAAAAAGTTTTAGCTCAGATTGGGATGCATTTTTGAAGCGACTGCTGAGCATCCCACATGCTGTGCTGTGCTTTGCTTTGCTTCCTGTCATGAACCTGTCAGAGCTTGGACTCCTTTTGGAAGAAGCTAAACCCAAAGATGCATGCTAGGTGTGTGTCTTGTGTTCCAGCTGCTAATCGGCATGCAGTCTGCAGGACCAGGCTGAGTTTGCTTAAACCCTAGTATAAAATTCTCATGGGGCATTTGACTTTAAGCAATTGTCCTCTTTAGTTTTCTTCCTGTAAGAAAAGCTTTTCTCAAAACCCACCGATCAGCTAAGATTATGCTTTATTCTGTGTGAGAACTCTTGGTCTGATCCATGTGATCTGTCTGTTGAGAGTTGATTACAGCTGGGGACACATCTGTGCATCATTCAGTTTCCATAGCAAAATTAGGTTTAGTTTCCATTAAGAAGTGATTTAAATGGTGAATTGTAGAGATTATGAAAAAAGTAATTTCTTCTTGTGTTAAGACTGTTACTTGTAAACTGCAGAGCCTGAAATCTCAATCTGTTTCCAAAGTGGACAGCTTTAATTGCTTTTGCAAAAATAAATGTGCAGGCACAGTTCCAGCTGTCTGGATATGCACCTTTTTGTCAGAGACAAGAATTCTCTTTCTAGGCCTCTGCTTTTCCCAATCCATTTAAAGTGTATTGTTGTTTGAGTAGGTTTGTCAGAAGAAATGTAGTATCAAAACCTGTTATATTTGATCTATCCTTTTTTTTAATTCACTTGTATTTTTGGCTTCTGTAGTCGGATGAGTGTTCCAGGAACATTATGTACTCTCGCTACTTTTTTTTTAATTTAGGTTTTTTTTTACACATTTAATCCCTTTGCTCATTGAAACTCAACAAGAAGGATCTTTCAGATGGAAGAAAATAGGTCTGGAACATATTTGGAATATTTGAGGCTTTTTTCCCATAAGAATTTGGGGATGACCTATAACCTCTGACATCTAAGAACTTTCACTAATCATCTCTTAACTGGTTACTCCAAGCTCAAGAATGATTCATTCCCTCATGCAGGAAATCAAATGGAAGTAGGAGGAAGCCTGCACAGATGAACAAGGAGCTTCTGACTAAACTCAAAGAAAGGAAGTGTATGAAAGGTGGAAGCAGGTGCAGGTGACACTGTCTTAGGTGTGTAGTGGCTGGGTTAAGGAAGCCAAAGTCTATCTGGAGTTGAATCTGATGAGGGACAAGAAAAGCTTTTACAGGGACATCAGGAGCAAAGAAAGATTAGAGAAGATGTGAGACCACTGCTGAATGGGGGCAGGAGGCCTAGTGACAAAGGACATGGAGAAGACCAAGGTACTCAATGCCACTTTTGGTTTGGTTCTTACTCTTAAGGCTTGACTTCAGGATCCCAGGTGCCTGAGATGCCTAGGCAAGTCTGAAACAAGGAAGACTTACCCTTTGTGGAGGAGGATCAAGTTACGAACATGTAAACAAATTGCACATGAAGTTCAGAGAACCCGATAGGATGCCCCCACAGGTGCTGAGGGAACTGACTGATGTCACTGTGAGAGACTGTTCTTGTTGTCTTTGAAAGGTCATGTTTGTAAGGGCAGTTTCCTGATGAGTGAAAGAGAACAGATGTCACTCCCTACCTTCAAGAAGAGCAAGGAGTATGCAGGGAACTGCAGGCTGGTCAACCTTACCTCAATCCCTAGGAAGGTGATGAAGCAGATAATCCTAGAAATCCATTTCCAAACATAGAATGGATAAGAAGGTGATTGGAAGTAGTCAGCTTGGATTTATGAAAGGGAAATAATTTCTGACCAGCTTGCTGTATTTTACTCTTCTTTGAGCAGGTATATTGGACTAGATGATCACCACAGGTCCCTTCCAGTGCTAACTCTTCTACGATACTAAAGCACACTTACGTAGACTGACTGCACTGGATCCTTGTGTCTGGATTAGATGAGGCATGAGCACCCACAAGGTACATATGCTTATTGGTCACCCGGAGGACAGGCCACACAGTGAAGATTGAGTGGTTACTTCATGTTGTATAGCGTGCACTAGAAGATGTAACTTGTGTAGGCAGCCTGTTTTGTTTAAGGTCCATCCTTTCCATCCTCATGTAGGCTTTTGCCCTTGCAATGTTGTGTTTTGCTGAAAGAACAGAGACTTGGTTGGTTCCACTTTCAGGTAATGGTGCATGTTAAGCTCTTGAAGCAAAAGGAAACAGCATGCCTTGGGGAATCAGTTACTTGTTCCTCTGGTTTTCTTTAGTTTAAAATTACTGTATCAAAGATAATTCCCCTAGTAGTGCTTGAAATGTGGGAGCCTGAACAATTGCAGAGCAAACAGTAGGTCTGAGTAACATCTCAAGAGTATGATTAGTCACAGTGGGAGGAACTGGTTGATGACAAGTGTGTCTAGCTGTACATAAATCCAGCTGAGAATTATTTCTGCTGGGTTACAAGTTGTGTTTCTGTTAATTGCACAGCACTGATGGTATTAATGTTCATGCTGGGGAAGCAACCTTAAATGCTGCCTTAAGTAGCAGGGTGTACTTCGGAACCAAAGTTACAGAATCAAACCCATCTTTTGAGGCATCCTTCTCATAGAAGCCCACACGGCAGATAGTATAACTTCATAGTATTTTTCACTTAATAGTTCCAAGTAAAATTTCCTAGTTTGTAAGTATTAGTGTTTAAGAAATCTTGCATTTAATCGTGTTGGCTGAATGTTCTTGAGTGGTAGTACTTGTTCAGCTCTATAAAACTTTTGCGTAATCCTTCTTTTGCAGTCGCTTAGAAAAATAGGTGAAGGGCTAACAATAGCTGGCAAAGCGGGTGCGTTAGTCCAATATGCTCTGACCAGGTTCTTCTAGATATTCTACGAGGAGGACTTAGTGCTTTAGTACTGAACTTAGTTGAAGATATTTGTTATGTGAGATGTTGATTTAGAAAAGTGATACAGAAATATACTGAAGTTGCAACACAAACACAATATAGCAATTGTATATACAGTTGAATCACAATATGAACATCATTCCCTTTACCAATGTCTACAGCATGCTCACCATCATGGTGCTGGGTGATGCCAGCTGCCAGGAAAGAACACGTGGGCTGAAGCCAGTTCGAGCCCATTGCACTCCTCAAAGTTGATTTTGCTGGGTGTTCAATTTTTATACTCTATGTTGGGCTGAGCCACATACACATATCCTTGTGTTGGTGTGGCTGGCTCAGGAAGATACTACTTTCTACTGATTATTTTAAGGAAGGCCACTTACATAACCAGTTGACCCACTCAACTGATACAGCTGTTTGTTTGCAGCAAAGGCCATCTCTGGTCCTCTTGGTGCTGACATCAGTTTGGCTTCTTTGGTGACAGCTGTGGTCACTTCCTGCATTCTTTTCCGAGCTCCATGAGCACACCATCTTTGCCTCTCTTCTCTGAGCCTTCTTCCATTGAAGGTGCTCACTGACCAGTCACAGAATGAAAGTGTGGCTTTATAAGGCCAAATGTTGCTGGTTTTGTTTATTTTAAATGTGCTATATACTAACATATGCCATTCAAAGAAAGTAAAAAACCACAAACTTAAGCCCCTGCATCTTCACTTAGGCTTCCCAATGGTATATCTGGTTTTGTTTTGCTGGGTTTTGGTTGGATTTTTTTTTCCATTTTTTTCAAGTGTCATTTTTACTTGAGAACATGTGTGTCTGTGTCCTCTTTTAAACTCCCAATTGTTTTCTCAACCTTGAATTAACTAATAACTCATATAAGCTAGCTGAGTGCACTGAAAGGAAGAAACTGGTCCTGTAGTGAATCAGTTTTTAGAACTTCCCTGAAAGTTTAATATTCACATGATGTTAATGGATTTAGGATGGCATGGGTTCATTGCAGTTATATTAACTTGTAAAATAATTATTCTAAGAAGTTAATTTTAAAATAAAGTAAGACTTCTCGAGATTTTTATTTAACACCACCAAAGAAAGCCAAAAGCCTCCAGTAGAAGAACTGTTGGTAGTTTTCTGACTGCCACAAATTGCTTGAACAGAATCTCACAAATAATAAAACCCAATGAGAGAGGGGAAGCCTTCCTTTGTCTGTGCATCAGGTAGAAACTGGCAACAGTTCAACTTTTTCAGCTGCATTACAGAGAACATGCTTTATCTTTTTATAGGGTAGCAAATCACGAGCTATGGTTGCAGTTGGCAGTATCTTTCATTTACCTTTGATCATATAATAGCTGAGCTTTGCAAGCTCCCCGTTTTCCTTCATTCTTGTCCCTCTGCATGCTCTGGAGTGCTTCTGTAGTATCTGCAAGTAGTGTTTTATATGAAGGTTAATTGCTAAGTGTGTTTATATCATCTACTGATTTTCTCTGTTGTACTTGTATCTGTTTGGACTACTGGCCAGTTTAATCTCCAATATGATAAATAACTGGAAATAGGTTCCTGTTGTTCAGGCTATAACATACAGTTTGTATATATTCTGTATCTTGTCTTTATAACTAGGGCTCCTTCTTAGGTGAACTGAGAATTATTTCTGTTTTCAGAAGAAAAAAAGGAAAATGACTTCATAAAATTATGACTATCAGGAAGTGTTGGGTCTGCTCCAGTTATGCCAATCAGTTAAACTGTGAGCATGCAGGAGGTGCGAAAAGGGACATGGTTGACAGCATGCTCTTCCAACTGCTGCAGCTGAACTGTTGGGCCCATCTGCTTGAGAAGGTTACAGTGATGTAGGATGAAGCATGTAATCATTGCCCCAAATACTGGAAACCACACAGCCGGATTTCAGGATGATGGAGTTAGTGTATTTCAGTGATGAGTGCCATGAGGAAAACGTGGAGAAATGAAGGAATTAACTATCTATAATGAACCTTCAGAGGGAGAGGAATAAAGAGGATGTAGATACTGATTGTACATTTCAAATGAACGACTTTTCAATCTGGACTTGAACGGAAAGGGAAGGGGAAGAGAGAGAGAATGATGATCAAAATTTTTTTAAAAGGTAACAATTGAAAAAAAAACTGCAAAGGGAAAGTAAGCAAGGTGTTCCTTGGGTTATGTCAGATGCCACTTGCTCAAAATTTCACCCCAGAAGGCTGGTGCTTTTCCTGTCCTCTTACCAGGTCACTGATGAACAAGTGATAGCTGCAAGTGAAGTGGCAACAAAGACACCTCACCACCCATACAGTGAAGCAGCATGTTCTTTTTTTAATATTCTTGTTTTGGATGAGCATGTTTGTATATGGTTCAATACAAGTATTTATGGAAGGGTTTTAAATAAAAAATGGGAAAGCTTGGAACATATACTGCAAGTTATGTCTGGACTGGAACAGGTGAAAGCTGCTCTCATCTTTACATAACTGTTCCTGCATTTTTAGAGGCCCCTGAATACAGTCTCATTCCTCTCTGCACCAGAGGTGGATCCAACACTTTCCAAGGGGAGATTGTTAGCAAAATGCAAAGAGAGGAAAGTCAGGCACATCGGAAGAATCTGGCATGGGAAGCACTGGAGAGCTCTCATGAAGCAAAGCTGCTGTGGGTGACAACCCTGGTAAGTAACATGCTTCCCTTCCTTGCACCTCCTCAGTTCTATAAAGTAACGTGAGTTTAAGAACCCCTTCTTTTTGGGGACAAAATTCCACCTTTCTGGCATTTAACAGTATCTAAAAGAGTGCAGCTGTGTCTGCTCTGCCAGCATGAAGACATAGAGTATCTCACTCATGAAAGACCAAAAAGGATTTGGTTCCCACTTTACCCATTTCACAGTGGAGGTGCTAGGGATCTAGCAATTAAATGGGGGAGGGAAAACTTACCTATAAAAGTTAAAGATTGCCGGTGAAGGGGTGAGGTGGGGACATTTATAGCAACTGTGTTGTTAATGAAGCCACAGTAGAGGTGATGTTCTGCTATTCAGGTACACTGTCAGTAAAACCAAAGGTAGCACGTCAATGACTACTACATACATGACTTGCTGAACATGAAGCATTTATTTATGTAAGCAATACATTAACAAGTGGCAGTTAATACACTAAATTTATGTTGAAATATACTCCCCCCCACTCCAGCACACCAGTCAACTGAATCAGGGCAAGAACTCTTAGTCCAAATAATGATTTAACAGCTACAGCATACCACACACTAAAAAAACTCACTTCCTGCAACTGTTCTGAAGTCTTGCTTGAAGAATCCAATTTTAAGTACAGTTAAAAATAATTAGCAGTATTTCATTAACTACCTGCCCACAGTTGTAGGCTACTAAAGAACTTTCAATCTGCAACTTAAACTGGACAGTGTTTTTTCTCTCAAGTTAAAGAATTAAAGTGCATAGCAGCAGCTGTGTCTAATTGCTCAGTGGGAGGAGCTCACCAAAATCTAGGTGTTCTATTTTCTTAATAAAAATAGTTCTCTGTGAAGACTTTGAGCACTCTATCACCAGTACATCAACTGACATAGAATATGTATAGACCACTTCTAGTGCAGACATGTATTGGATTTGTTCTAACCTACAAACTAACGAAGCTTCTTATGCATGTGGGGGGCTATGATTCATATGACTGTTTACATATATACAAAATAAATTCAACTCTGTTGTCATTAGGGACTGAGGAGTCTAGAACTCATCCAACTTCCACTGAAGCTTGAAATGCAGTCATACTGCTAGACAAATATCAGGGCTATTATTTTCTTTTTAGCAAAAGAGTAGATTAGTAACTGTACAGTAGGTAAAAAGCAGTCTTTAAAAAAAATACAGGAATTACACAAAAGGCTGTAGTAAAGTGCCTAGCAAGAATATAAAGAACAGGAGAATCAGTGTAAGTGGACAAACAACATTGCATCCTTGCTCCCCTTACCTCTTCACAAATTCTCCTGTGTGCATTGTAACAGCATCGATGCTCAATGACAATATGTCAAAAAGACCATTTTCACTTTGCTATATAAAGTATTAGAGAGCTTAAAGCCAAGAATATAGTCATATTGGAAATTATACTTTGGAGCAGACTAGCTCACTTTTGTCCATACTCTGTACAGGGAGAACTGCCAGGAGCCCTCTAAAGCCTGCTGATGGTGCTCTTCACAGAGGCACAGCTCATACCCATCCTGAGAGCAGGTGTAGCTACAGCCCTCTGGCTCAGATCTGCTGAACGTTTACCTCTGAGCTACCATCACTTCTCTTTCCCCTTCTCCTCCCTTCATCAGCATATGCTTCCCATGCCTCCATCAGTTTTCTGCTAGAGGGACAGCCTCTGGCTACATCAAAGCTGCAGATTATTTAGGGCTATTGTGCTTTCCAAGTGTGACTTCTGAGACACGGTGAAGCCAGGCCTTTCTTGATCCCTTATCCCTGTCCTTTCTCTACATTCATCCCCAGCCTTACTAAGAGCTCTCAGAGCCCTGGACATAGTCAGGGTAGCTGACATCTGTATTAGAGCGCGCCATTTCCATTTGGAGTTTTGCTGGGGAAGAAATCTGTACTTTGTCTTTATGTAAAAATACGGAGCAAGTTACACTGAAGCTGAATTTCAACTTTTTAACTCAGTATTTTCAAATGCATGCTCCATGACAAACCACCCTGTGACTAACTACGTAAAAAACAAGACTATACAGATAGAGAACCTGAAGTGTTAAAAAATATATTTTCCCTCTCCCCCTTACCCCTTGACAAGTTAGCCTTTAAACAAACACTAACACAAGGTAAGCTGACAGAACAACACTGAATAAATAGCTGCGAAAAACTTTTGGTTGCTAGATGTCTGCAGGCATCATGTAAACTGTATGCTACCTTCATGCTAGTTTAAAAAAAGGTGTTCTACATCAAGGGATCCACACTCTGGCACTTCTGGCAAGAATCAGATGTTTTCAGGCTGGTAAAATTTTGAGATTAAAAAAAAGAAAAAAGGAAGTAAAATAAATACATTTTCCCTCACTTGAAAAAAGCCACATTTGTGCTCCAACAGCTATCGCTTAAGTTGTAAACCCAGGAAAGACAAATTGTAAAGTTACCTGCCTGTAGAATAGTTAATGGTAAGATTTTTGCTTTCAGAGATCTGTCACTTAGTCCTGCTGCTGGTTTTCTAAACAAACAACTGGCATCTTTACACCATGAACCTGTGAAGTAAGTAAGTGACTCAGATTTGATAACAGAAATACTTTTCTGCTTCAACTGAACTAAGCTTAGTCTGAGAGGTTGGTTTTTTTTTTTGTGTTGGTTTTTGGACTAGTCTCTATCTAGCCACCTAGAAAGCATAACTAAGTTCCTCCTAAAGGTGTTTTCAGAATAACAATTTGCATTTAAATGTAAACACTGATACCATAAATGTAGTGTATACAAAAGGCACAAGACAGTTAGATTTGTGTTGCTGAAACTTCCTTGACTTTGAAAGCTGATAATGCATCTTTTATTATCTGATCCTAAGACAGCTGCTAGCGCCTAACTTAATTGAAGGGGTTTTCCTATGTGCAGCAGCTTGGCTTTTTGGTATTGCAATCAAAAGTCTGTTGTCCTATAAATGCAAATATCACAAATTATAACAGTAAGTCCCCTTGATTGTACATGATATTCATTAAGTTACGCAGTAAGAAAGGCAGTGTCTTAAAAAACAAGTGAAAAAAAGAAATCTGAGACAACTATTGATTAATAAGAAACTAGGATTTTGAAAGACAGCTGCCCTCAGGAACACAGGTTGGTAAAAAGCCTTTTGGATCAGAGTTAAGTGCCAACATTCATTTCCCAAAGGGGTTGACAGCTCCAAATGGGACAATAAAATCCCCATTTCATAGCACTGTCCTGTGCAGCTTCCATCAAAATCCCTAGCTGGCCAGTTTCATTCATGTATTACCCATCTGAACGCAGGCTTTTTATCGCTCCACTTACCAGTGACCCACTATAGCATTCAATTAACAAAGGAGTTTTTTCCCCCTCTGCAACTTTTCAAACTATTGGTAGTGTAGATCTGAAGGTAAACGGAGCTTTTGCAACCATGTTTTCCAAAAGCATTCCAAAACAGTCAGACACTTCACTTGGGTCTCCTTATCTTCAAAAATTGCTTATCAAGCACTCAAAAGAAAATACAGTCCACCAAACCACTAAATTATTCGTAATCAACACTGGCCCTTCTCCCAATTCATAAAGCCAGTAGTGCAAAAGTTTGATTTTAAAGTTAGCTACTTACAGCAATTGGAATTAACGGGTGAGCTTTCAAAACCAAGGCAAGAATATGGACTGATATGTAAGGAGGTCACATTTTTCTTGTGCTGAACAGCAAAGTAAAACCAGCCGTTGTGTTTTTACAATTGTAAACTCAGACTCCTTTTTTTTTTAATTCCTAATACTCAGAATCATCCTTTACCATTCAAAGCCAGTAATTTTAAGTTGAAACATTCTTTATATGGTTCAGAAGTAGTATGTTTAGTTTCATGTTTCAAGCAGTGACATGGAGACAGCTAATCATCTGTCAGTTTGTTTTCTGAGCACATCCACACAGGAGCAGACAGGAGCAGCTGGCCCACGGGGCTGATATTTGGAAGAATGCATCTTCCTTCCAACAACAGCTTTTTCTTGAACTAGAACAGAACATTAATCACAAAAACTTAAAAATTAAGTTATTGCAACAAGTCTCATCAACTCAAAGGTGAAAGTGAACAACAGCTGAATGAAAATCCCACCCTGAAGAGGAACACAGTAAGACTGTTCACAGATATGTTATTAATCCACTTCAGGATGACAATGATTAAAAACTGACTACATAGCAAGCAGGCCACCAGTTTATAAAATGAAGTGAGCTATTTTTACAGTACTCCCAGGTACCACCATCATTAAAAAACAATTCTCTATTACATTTGTGTAAACCACATCTGGCACTCTCAGTAATTAGTCCTCTGATTAACTATAAAGGATTACAGGACACAGGATATTGAACATATCCTTAGCTGGGACAGAAATTCAAATTACTAACACACTGGCAGGGGCTGTGGGCAATATTTTTCATGTCGAAGATTAAATTACTTGGTTTTGTTGTTGTGACTTCAGCATCTTTATTAAAGTATTCTATTCACTCCCTAGGAACAAATATAACTCAAAGACTGACAATAAAGTAATGAAGTTAAATGCAAAGTAGTTAAAATAGAATAATGTTTTTATATAAGGGCTCTTATTCCAGCAACTGTGTCAGAGAGACATATATATATATATATATATACACACACACACACAGAGTAATCTAGCTTTTTTGTTACATCTAGAGAAAGTCTTTTAAGTGCCACAGAAATATCTCAGAGAGTGCTAAGGGTACAACCAAACTGGCACTTAACACTCAACGCCAGAGAAATTATCAGACCTTAGCTACTGCCTTTTCAGATGTGCATGCGTTGGTCAAAGGTAAAACTAACTTCCAGAAGCCCCTTTATTTGGCTTTAAACCAACTCTTTGGAACACAACCTCTGAAAGTGGTCCCTCTTTAAAAAGCTGCACTTCAAAATGGATGCTCACAAAAAGAAACAAAAAAAACCCCAAACAAACCAACCAACCCGCCAAAACCCAGTGGGTGGAGTAATCAGACTGCAAACACAAATCTAATTGTTACTTTCTCAGACTGGACTAAAAGAAAAAAACCCAAACATCTCATGCTCTTTTTTGGTTGTTTATCAAGCTAAACAGCTTGAAAAAAACACTTTCAGCATCTTGAGAACAATCACAGACCCTGTTTGATATTCAGAATAATCTGAATGACAAAGTTCCAATAAAATGTACACACTGTTCAAAGAAAGATTAAAGTTTAAAAGTTATTACTTAAGTAAATAAGGTGTTAGGAGTTCAGAAAGTGTAAGTAAGTCCAACCTGACAAAACTAGTTGCAGTTAATGACATTTCTGCAATATAATCAAAAAATCTGTTTGTTTAAAGGCTATCTCCAATGCTTTACTCTTGAGTAGTGATGACATGTAAGACACTAAAGTAACTGAAGTTGAATAATTTATTCTTTTCCAGAAACTGTTGTTCTGTTGAAACAACTGATGGATTAATCAGGGCAGAAGCACAGCATTTTACATTTTGAACAAAGGGTTAGAAATTATATTCTTAGATTCTATTAAAAAAAAAAAAATGTACACAGAGCAGTCAAAATTGCAGATACTGGCTGAATTTCATTCGCTCTCTCTTTAACTCTGTTCATTTGACACCCACATTTCTAACACTTTAACACTTCATACCATCATCAAGTTTGTAGATGTACCTATATCTGGAACTGTCTGTGTCTTCACTTGCCACTTAACACAAAACCAGAATGTAAGGGTCAAGAATTTTTTATTTCTCTGATGAATCCAACTGAACTTTTGGGACCTTTTTGGTACAAACTACAGGCCACCTGTTGGTATCTGTACACCTGTCATTTTTATAATCTGCCCTGACAGTTCAATACCATGCCTGATGGGGTCTACTAACAATCACTGCAGTTCTCTGATGGCTTTCCATACTTTCCACTTCCTCTAGGAGTGACCAAGAGCAACCTGACAGGCGTGATAGCATGTCCAGGAGTCATGTCACCCACAAATGAAGGGCATTCACTTGAGACACTTTTTCAGGCTGACTGAAAGGGTGCTTCCAATAGCAAAGATGGAAATGACCTTGCTGGAATGACTCCTCCAATGTTGTTGGAAAATCGTAAATTATTTGGTATGCTGAAATTATTAGGGTTGGAGTCAAATTTTTTATCCAGCTTTGAATATGAAATAGTTGATTTCCATAAGCTTTAATGGAGTTAGAAATCTTCAAATACTAAAGTGAATATGACGATTGATTGTGTTCATTCCCCACAACCCAATTATTAAGGTCTCCTCCTCCTATGTACATAACAAAATTTACTAGCTGCTTCTCAAACCTGCCTTCTGAGAAGTCTATGGTGCAAGACACCAAAGCAAGACATCAAAAAAATCTCAGCTGTTTTTAACAATAGGTAACTAAATGGTCAGGAAGTCATATGGACACCTTTTGTCGTCAGTAGGCAGTACTTTATTATTAAATAGGATGCAGCTCAGTACCCGACATAGAAGATCAAGCTGCTAATAGCTTATATATTAGAATAAATCTTTTTTCCTTCATCATCTGATAGACCTTTACCTGCTTCAGAAGACCAAGCTATGATCTTTGTGTTCACTATTAAGAACTAACTTCATTTTCAAACTTAGCTTTACAAATATTTGCTGGACAACTTGAATAGTCATAACTTCATTGTCTTTCTAAAGAAAGGGAATAATAATAATATTTTGGAATACTACCTAAAGGCAATGGGTATAAAGGTTAAACTATTTTGCAAACATGACACATTGAGAAATAGGAGGTTTAGTTTAAGATTATGAATTCATGTGCTACTACTCGTGGTAAAAAAAAATTAAATTGAAGACAACAGATAAGAATTGCTTTAGTAATTTTCTTTTGTGAATTCTTCAAGTGGGGTAACATACTAAGTACAGAGAATATTAACATACCTTTCCTTACATATTCAGATGTTTCTTTCAAGAGAAATTAGGTTTCATTTTCCATGGTTAATGCAGGATTGCTCATACCTTTAAAGACAAAAAATGGTATTTCCACAGGAAAAGGTCTCATGTCTGTTTCAGCAAATAATACAACCTTTAATTAACAATCCATCTTAATGTGATTCCACTATTACCAAGTCTATTCCTGTCCTGTGTCCACTACACAGCTTTTCACTAGTTGCAACAAGATGTCATCATATTCTGATACAAGCAATTTGTAGCCAAAATAATTACCAGGCTCAGACTAAAAGATAATTAGCACCACTGGTGTTAGTGTTCTCAGTATCTCTTGGTCAGGTTTAACTGGGAAGGGCACAGCAGCTTGATACATGGAACTTCCTACAGACATCCATTTAAAAATAAGCTTCATGTATTTTTGTTCATGCATACAAACCAGATGATGTTGGTAATTTTTACACTATATCCTCCAGAACAAGTTTATTACAAAACCAATCATTGCAGCATAAATCAATTCCTTACCAACTTTGCCCTTTTCAGCCTTTGCACTGGTTTCTGACCAAGACGGTGTATCCGTAAGAAGGTGGCTCTGGGAATCACGCAATGGCTTTGCAGGAAACAGGTGGTTCTCACTGTAATGCCAATAAAAAGAACATTAGTAAACTGCAGTAATTTTTCCTTATCTTACCACACATCACAGACACTTTGTCATATATAGTACTTTCCCTACCTTACCTTGCTGCTTTTCTGACAATCACTACGCTTTTATCACTACATACATTACACTGTAGTTGTCACAGATGCAAGGGCAATCTCAAAAGCAACTCCCTAGCACAGAACAGGGAAACATTCTGATTTTTTTCTTTGACAGCTATTATATATTAGTGCTTCAGTTCCAAATGCACTGTGTATCCATATTCTCTCCCACTACAACAAACCTGACACGATAAATAGTGGAGAGAACATCTCCAAAATCTCTTGTCTAATACAAGCTACGGATCACTGGGGTAAGATTTAAAACATCAATAAGCAGCTAGCTGAAATGTAATGTATTTCTTTTATGAATAAAAGATTGTCAATATGATGCCATTATCATTTCTTAGTCACATATTCAAGTCTACTATACTTATCACACTCTTCATTACATAAATGTTGCAAAAAAGTTACAATATGAAATACTAGCGCTATTATACTTATTTAGTTTAAGGAGCATCTGCATACTTTTCACACTTTAAAGATGTCATGTCCATGAAGGATAAGGATTAAGAAAATATGTCCTATTAGCAGCAGAAACAAAACATGTGCATTTAACATGCAGTTCCCTGTGCTTTGGCACAAGTGCTGAGGCCTGGGATTCCCTTATGCAAAGCATCTTTCACCAGATACAAAGAAGTAGGCCTCCCCCAAAAGCCTTGCAAGGTAATGCATCCATATCACAGACATAGCGACTGTCTCATATGTGTGCAGAACAGAATGTTGCCGATACTGAATGTTAGGCAGGTGTGGAAAATTCAGGTCCTAGGATGCTACCGAACTGAGACAAAACACATGGGGGGGGGGGGGGGGGCCCCCCCCCTTTTTTCTAAAATTTAA